CTTTGAACAATCTTAGACACTTGGACAATTTTGGACATGAATAAGTCAAAAAAGACTGTGAATAGCCAAAATGTACAATACTGCACTAGCCATTATACTTGCAATCTAACTAGAAGATTACCTATTTAAGCTTTCTGGCTTTTTACAAGTAAGAGTATGACTAGCTATATCTACAACTTTTGGTTGTCTATTTAAGTAGTCTGCTTTAAGTTCCACACTAGCTACCATACTTGCAACCTATCTAGAAGATTATCTATTTAAACTCTCTGGTCACAACCAGTTCATCATTTTTTACCTAACCAAGATATAATTCACTATTCATATACTAGATTTTGTATTATCTGTAGATTTTACACTCTATCTAGAACTACTTTATCATTGAGATAAATCTAACAGAGTAGTATATATCTCATACATATATTCACTTGCATGTTTGGTAACTTCTTCCTAATCTAGTACCTGTTGTGTTGCTGTCACCAAGTTTATATCTCAAGCTATATTTTAGGATATTGCCATAACCTGATCTGTATCTCAAACTACAACTTTTCTATTTTAGTAGTTGTTATATACTTCTTTTTTTTGTATTTAAGTTCACACAATCCTAGCTTCTACATTCAAACTTCCTTCTTTCCTGAATTCTTTACTAGTCTCTTACTTATTTCTAGCTAGCAACCCAAAAAGGTTGGTTTACCTAGACCTTAGATATCTATATAGTTTTTTTTTTTTTGATACATGCTTCTAGAGTATATGTCCTTTTTTTTTAGTTTGGCAACTTGGTGATTCAGCTAGTATATCCTCTCACTTAAGGATCTGGTTACTTGATTCTCTAATCTTGGTCTTCGGTTTCAAATTTGGTCTTTCTGTAGTACTGTCAAAGATTATACTACCTCCCAACTTGGGACTTGCCAAATAAGTTTTTGGTTATTCTAGTATTTTAAATTTATTATACTAGAGCCCTTATTCTAGATAGTGTGACTGAGATTACAGATTTCTAGATTCTATTAATTATCAAATAGTATCACAAAGCTATTTTTCAAAAACATTATTTATAAGATTCTAACTCTAGATCTGCTATTTGGGAGTATAACAATTCCACCACTTCACTAAATCACTACATCTTTATCTTTTTATATTTATAAATAGTCTATATTTATGTTTATAAATAATTTATATTTATATTTTTGTTCAGATACAACTAGAGATATACAAATACATGTTTTTTTAACTTTGTATCACATAATACAACATAATGTATTATACAATTCTATATAATATATATACTGTAGACCTCTTAATACTTCTATATAGTGAACAGACTTTATATAGTATTAAGGTTATTAGATTTGAAAATATAAACTATTGGATTTATATAGTAAAAAAAGACCTAGTAAATTAATTTTTTATTAAATTTCACAGGCTACTGATTTTGATAAAAACAAGTATCTATAAACTGATTGTTAATAAAATAACAATTAAAATTATATAGGTTGTTATCTAGCAAATTGGGGCTTAGAGAGGTTTTAACCAAAATTAAGATTTTTAGTAAATTATATTTCTAAGTATGTGCTTTACTTATAATAAAAATTTAAATACTTATTAGCATATTATAATTTAGTACAATCTTGTATACAGTTTTTTTTATTTAATCTAGTATTATATTTTAAATTTAGATTGGCAGTTAGTTTTGCAATTTTTTATATATTGTAATTGGCTAACTGAATTTTAGAATCCATGACATAAGTATTTGTATAATACATAGATTATCAATATTTTAATTTTATTATAATACCAAATTTTGCATTAAAATGATTAATTGTTGATATTTACAAATAAAAAATTTGCTTTTAAGCCCCAATTTGCTAGGCAACAATCCACATAATAACTTCTATATGCATTTTTAAATTTTAAACAACTTGTATTGCATTATGCAGTATTATGTAGTATGCAACATCAACTACATAATACATACAGCACATCTCTAGATACAACCAGTGTTTAAAATTCAAATTTAAAATTATATTCTCAAAAAAGCTTAATTTAAATTATTAATATTTACAAAAAATTTTTAATGTTCTTTAAGAGATTAAATTAATTCATATAATCTAAATTAAAAATTTAACTCTAAAACTCTTTACACTAGCTTGAGTTAAATTATTTAAATTACATAATTATTGTAGCTTTACTTAATTTTATAAAATAATTAAATTATATAGTACATAATACAAATCTATAAATATCAAAATACAGCCTAATTTTGCTTAAATTTGGCTTGGGTTTGACTTTAAACTTAATCCAAATAACTTTTAGGGCACTAGTTTATTAGATTAAATATTTTTTAAAAACATTTTAAAATAATAAAATGTTCTCAAATAAGAAAATCTTATTTTAAAAATCATTGTTCATTAAAAAAAATGTATACTTATTGAGAACTATGAGAATACTGAATTTTAAACACTAGGTATAACACTAGATAGGATTATCAAAAAAATAAAAACTAAAATTTAGCATAGTTTTTAATTTTACACACTATACAGAAAATAAATTTAGTATAAATAATTAAATATATCAAAACTCTTAATCTATTTTTGTGTTATTAAACAAACTAATTTAAATATTTATTATATATACGAATATTTTAAAAATCTTAAATATATTTATAACTTTTTATCAATATATGGAGTCTTTGCCTTGAAAATCACATACAATATGATTTACTACTGTATGTTTCATAACGTGATTTTCAAGGCAAAGACCCCATATATATTATTATTATTATATATAGCATATACTGTATTCATGTTTTATAAATAAAATTTTAAATTTTTTACTGGATATAAATATATTTATATCTATTAAATATAGAAAATAAGCATGGCATTCTCTATTCTACTTTTTCAACTTCAGAACGAAAATAACTTGAGTAAAATTTTATTGCTATTTCGGGGATCGCTTAAGTCAGTACGTAGCAATTTACACGCATTACGTGATTCTTAGTTTACAAATTTGTTAGTAATCAGTTTAAAAACTACCTGGCTTTAGGCCTCCATTTTCGCTAATCTGAAATTGAAAAAGTAGAGTAGAGGGTGACGTGCTTATTTTCCACATTTTACAGTATATATATTAATATTCAATTCACATAAAACGTTCAATATTTCTTGATCTCAAACAAATTGCTTAATAGGTTTTTATATATATATGTAGCTACGTGGTCATAAACTACAGAGCAAAAATTTTTATATATAAGGGCATCCTCAGGCACAACATGAGGGACATACCTCGAATCAAAGATGCCCTTCTAGACATGCCCCAAATTTTCCGTTCCCCAGCCCTACACTCTATACATATAATCAGGGTGTTTATCTTGTCCCGTACTGTAGTAATAATAATTTATTATATGTTAGTGATAAAAAATAATAAAGATAGTAAGAATGGGTAGATTTATACGTATCACGGTTACTCAAACATTGCAATTCAAAATTGCTCGTTTGAAATTCGACAAGAAATTTGCAAAATTTGAACATGGAATAATACAATTAAACTGAGCATTTATCCAAAAATAAATTAAAATAGAAACAATAAAAGATATAAATAAACGCCGATTACATCAAAAAATTTATTCTTAGAAAAATAACAATAATGAACGTACATTTTTATTGTAAAAAAGAACACATCCAGAAAGGTTGCATAAAAAAAAAAAACGTTTCACTGTTTTAATTATGAGACCATTTTGGGATTCATAAATAATTTGTGCAACAATACGTAGAATTGTACTTCACTCAGTTCTGCAGCTATCAAGCCGAGCCGACCTTTCAGCTCATCAAGTAGAGCCGAGCCGTTTACAAGCCGATCAATCTCAAGCCGAGCCGTTACTCTAAGGCAGGGTTGACAATGAAGTCAATGGAGCAATGGAGCTCAATAGTTACGTGAAAAAAACTAGTATCCATTGGCTCCATTCAGAGCTCCATTAGCTCTATTTGCAGCTCCAATGTCAAACCCTGTTCTAAGGAAAGATATAGGCTTTCTCAATTTTATGCAATTGAATTTATACATATTGTAATTTTTTTTTTACAAAAATATAATCATCATTTATAATATTGTACAGTAGACAAAGCTTCAAGTACTACTCTATGTAAGTGTACTTCACTTAGAGACAGTTTTTAAGTAGAAAATAGTAACAGGTAATGTATAGTAAAATACATATAAACGTTAAAGTTTCTAACTAATTACAGAAATTTCGGATAATTTTCTGTATACTTGAAACGTTAGGTTTTTAAAGATGCTTGGGTAAAGCTTTATCCGATGTCATTGAAGTCAATACTAGGTGAGTTTATTATTGGCTAAATAGTAATAATAAACCTATTGGCCCGCAGCTCTTAGAGCCGATGCTTTATTACAGTATTAGTTGAGCCGTTAACTGGCTTAGCCGTTCGCATCACTAAATTCAGTTAACAATGATATTCTATCACGTGTATCGGTTTATAAGTACGTATGTACAAATAAATTGTGTGTAATTTCATTTTCGCGTACACAAGAGCCAAGAGACTTTGCTACAACAGTTTTGAACTACGATGGACATAATTATGACTGATAGTAGTGAAACACAAACTCAAAGTAAAACAATAATTTCAACTCAAATTGGACAAAGTTTTGGCATGAACCCAGGTGAGAACAAAGTGAAAGAATTTCAGAGCTTTGTTTCCGCAAAAGTTTTCCAAAACAAGTGTCAGTGCTGCTGACAAGAAAAAACGCTACGATTTTCTGCGATAAATTTTCTTGAGTTAAAGTTAACGAAGGTACATATGAGACAACGTTTTGGCCTCAAATTTCGGGTTTTGTTCAGAATGCACTACAAGCGAGTCTACAGATAGAGAGACCTTTGCATACCTATTCTCATGAAGAACTTTATAGGTTTGCATTGAATAGTAGATATTTTATTTTTCCGTTACCTCATCAAACAAAAGCACTCTAAATACCTTATTTATAACAGAAGTATATATTGGATGTGTTGGCAAGGTTTTCAAAAACGACTTTATTCTGACTTGACCTCAGTAATCGAAAAAACTTTGGAGATACTTGGAAATCAATTAGAAAATGATAAGCAATTAAACACATGGTTCACCAATTTTCAGCAAATATGTGTCAACCATGCAAAAGCCACCGAAATTTTGGAGAGTGTTTTTGCGTACCTGGTATTTAGAGTATTTTTGCATGATAAATCTGTAAACTGACCTTTTGTAAACACGCGTTATAATTCACTGGTCAATCATCAAGCAATGTTCTTACTTTGCTTGACAGGATAAAACATATATCCAATGTATCCTTCGAGAAAACTTGCGTGATGTTTTGGTGGATCGATTTCAACGTCTTATTACAGAAAAATCGGAAATGCGCATTATCTGCACATTTAATCTGGTGCTTAATAATCCTGGATTATTGGAATTAAATGCTGTAAAAGATGTTTTGAAAGCAATGTATAAGATTAGTGCTGGTAAAAAAAAAATAAAATAAAAACCTTATTATTAAGTCAAAGTTTAATCTAAAGAAATATTTATTCTAATAATCAATCTGTTATCATAATAGATAATATATATTTGAATCCGACATTATTTCAAAATTTAATAGAAGATATTAAAATACCCACCAACTTTGAAGATATCAGA